ATTCTTTAAAAAAAAAAAAAAAAAGAAAAACTACACACAAAGCTATCCACTATCCAGAAACTCAAGCACATCCATTTAATAATTGTTTCTCATACTCATGGCAGATTAGTTGTTCTAATAAATTTCACTAGCACCTCAGAGCATAGTAATAATGCACAAGTGGTGGTACCATCCCTGCAATGGTCCTCTTCTCACCAACCTGCCACCCATACAGAGGTCTGCATCCAACACAAGGACACTGCAGAGCCTGAGGATCAACCTGTTGATTGACTCCCAACAGGGAGTTTTGTTGACTCCCAACAGGGAGTTGGGAAAAATCCCAGAAAACTCAGCTCTCTGGAGAGTCCTCCTCTGTCCATACCTGCCAGACCTTTCACTTTCTCCTGTTGGCAGATTGAGACATGAGATCATTTTTGTAACAACAGCACATAAATAGGCACAGAAATCAGAAAACACATTAAGAAGTGTAGAAGAGGAAATAGGGAAAGCATTTCCCTATGTGGTTACAGAATACTTCCTACCACTTCATGTATTACAGGTATGCCATGACCATACACACAGCTGAGTTCACTGATGCTTTGGTCTCCTTCCTACCTCTTTGCTGGCACCATTCTCTGTGCTCTGATTCAGCATTTTCATTTATTCCTCTGCATGCTATTTAAATTATCTTTATACAACATGTACAGATGACACTGAAAAACTATTCCAAGATTCAGAGGACATTTGTTTGACACTGTTCCCATATTCTGCAGCAATACTGCTGGATGTTTCATAAGGTTGGGAGGAGAACCTGCCAAACATTGAATTCACCTTCCAGGTGGCACAGAGGTAATGTTTCCATCAGCAACTCAACAAACACAGCAGAGATACCAGCATTTCACCTGAGACATTCACCTGGCACAGGGAAGTATAAGAGTCATTAAGTTTACTCCTTTTCACTAAGCACAGACTGACATGGCAAAATAAATTCATTTGATCATCAGTATTACAGAGTGAAACTAAAGACCCGGAGAACCCCTAAAGACAGACATCTGCATTTTAACATCCATGTCTCAACAAGTATTCAGAAAGATGATGAATGTGCACTTCGGTCTTATGATAAATGAAACAAATAAAGGCATCATCTTTATTAAACAACATCAAACCCAAAAGTCAAAATTTGTCACATGTTCCCAAAATCTTGTGATACCACAAAGGAATAACCTTCATGGAACTGCTGGAATGATTTGAAGCCTTGAGCTGTAAGATATTCAATTTTCTTTTTTTTATTTTTATTTAATTTTTATTTTTTTTTTTAAATGAATAAGGATGAAAAGCCTACTTTTTATTAAAAGGAAGCTCACAGTTTCTCATATGTACGTGTCACTGAGCCTAGGGCTTTTTAAATAGCTGCAAGAGTTGAGAAAACTGCATTTCAGTATCACTTAATTAAAATATGAATTTTACTAGCCGCAAAGAATATCAAATGACAAACTAAGGATGGAGGAAGAAGGGATATGCACCAGAGTGAGAAGTAAAAGCAGAAAAAAGAATTCTGGCTTCAGAAGGGAATTAAAACATCCTGCACAACACTATCCAAAAAAAGTTTGTCTCATTTGTTGTCATACAGCAGTTTTTGTAGACACAGGCTTTTCCTGCTAAGGAAGACAGGGAAGCAAAACACCAACTTCTCCAGAAACTGTGCTCTGAGCTCCTCTGACAAAAGTCTACTGTAACTACCAAACTCACTTAATGTTTACACTGGCTAGATGAAGTTCAGAATTTGACTTTATATATTCTGCATTTAAACTGATGAGTAAAAGAGAAATGAGATTTTGTGCACAAAACATAGCCGTGGTTACACGATACAAAGGCAAGACCCGCTAAAGATTAAAAGGTACTTATTTAAGAACTTACAAAACCAAAATTACTGTATCTCAGGTGCTTTGCTCATCTGCATAGATATATCAAGCCTGGCCTCCCCTTTCACACAATTTCCAACAAAACAAACTCTGTGCCCACCAGCCCTAGCACTTAGCTTATTTTCATATGCAAAATATCCCAGAGTTTCTTCACTACATTATTTCATGAATATTAATAAAGTTTTGTTCTCCAAATGCTACTCTTGCTGACCATCTAGAAAATGTTTATTTTTGTCTTCCTTACGGGCAGTTCTCTGAACAGTATAGGATAAGACTCTTTTTTCCTTTGAAAGTTAAAAGCAAAGTTTTGAACAAGGTTTCTGACTTCACATACAACTTCCAATGTTATAAAATCTTTGTTTTCATGAACAGGAATGTTTGGATGAAGAATGAATGAACTTGCATGTGTATATGAACAATATTAACTGAAGAGATCCTGAACAGAAAGTATAAATATTTTTATATTAAAGCTGAAGATTTCAAGTTGTCCTGACTTCATGCAAGTTTTACAGGACTGTATCTACATCTGATCACAACTCATAAAGGACGTTATATTCCTAAAGAGACTCAGACTTTCCTTCCTGTGGAGCTGCGTACTCAGAGCAAGACCACACATTCTTCGATTTTTCTCTTAAATATACTCAATAGTTCTAACTCTTAACAAGATATCATCTGGAAGGAAAGTTTCTCAAGTAAATCTCCACTTGCAGCATCTCTGAGGAAAAAGATAGCATCAAGCAAACTCCTCATCACATAGTTTCTGAAAACCGCTGTTTGTGTTGATCACCCATCTTCATAAAATCACTGAGGTTGGAAAAGGCCACTAAGGTCACTAAGTCCAACCCCCAATCCACCCCACCAAGCCCACTGACCACATCCCTCAGTGCCACATCTCCATGGTTCTTGAACACCTCCAGGGACGGTAATGCTACCACGTGGGCGGCCTGTTCCAATGCCTCACCACTCATTCCAAAAAGCAATCTCTCCCAGTATCCAAGCTGAACTGAAAAAAAACTTAAACAGATGGGAAGAACAAAGCTAGAGGAAATTACTCAGAAGAGAGCACTGAACTCATAGAGAAAGTCAACCAAACACAACATGCATGATTTAAATACTGTGCAACAGTATTCATAGCTACAACACTCAGACAAAAGCATATTGGTGACCTGAGGGACAAATGATCAAGTCACACAGCTTGTAGGCAGAAGTATCACTGTGTTCCATGAAGACAAAATGAGCACTGAGCTTTGCATATACCACTAAATGCTATAGAAGTGGGGATTACTCTCAGCTTCTTCAAGAGGAATTTTCAACGTATTCACCAATTTTTAGAATATTCATGGTGAGAGGGTATGAACTGTCACACCTATGGGCTGATCATGTTAGCACATACACAGTATCATCAAAATTCCATGCAACTTATCTGATTTAATTGCAGACATGTTAACAAAATCCTGTATTTGTTATATTAGAATAAAATCTCACGACACATACTTGCCATGAGTCATATTTTGCTGTTACAAGTTTACACAAACTGTTATTATCTACAACTAGCAAATTACCTCTGTGCTGCTAAACACAAATTAAAATTGAAAAGAAACAGTGGTATGGTTTTGCACTTAATTCAATGCTCAGCCAAACCCAATCATATGAGAAGAGTTAAGTCTCACAGATATAAGAATCAATATACTACATCAAGATAAAGTCTGCCTTGCTAACAAGAACTGCTTTTGATCAGATTCCATAGACCTTAATTCCTAAGAATTCAAATGCATCATGGTGGTAATACAGGGAAGTTTTCAAGTTCTAAATGAGCACCTTACATTAAATGTCCACAAGTCAGGGGAGAAGACATCCCGACTGGGATTCTTTGATGAAATATTACTCATGTTAAACACATGTTTTCCTGCCTTGGAGGCATGTAAAATTCCAACAGTACACAACATCTTTCAATGGTCTCATACACATTGCTTTTCACTACATTCTCACACATTTTACTCCAGAACAGAATCAAGTAGATAAAACCACCTAATCTTTTCTTTTTGTTTCTTCTTTCCAGCAGTTCTACTAAGGATGACAGTGGCACATTATCAGACACTTTATTACGCTATTAGCCACGTACCGCTATTGCCCACCACTGCAGGTGTTCATCTTTGCCTAATCTACAGAATCATAGAAATTCTATATTTTGCTGGAAAGTAGGAAAATTTTGATGACTTGAATTTATACACTATTTTCGCAATAGCCTCAGAAATGGAATATGACCTTAACCATTAATAACAGCCAAATCACAGAAGACTTTCATGAAATCTACAGAGCAACTTGTACCTGATTCTTTTATTCAAAACTCTTGACTTCCTGTTCATGCTGACTGTGGTGACAGGAGCTAGTCAATATCTAGCTGTTATTAAGATGGGGAAAAATGTGTATAAGCATATTTTGAATGGAAATTTGTTTACCCTAACGACTTGCAGGATTTCACAATGTCTATTCTCTAATTACATGAGACACATAAAACCAGCTCTGCATATCCCAAAGATAAGCCAGAATAACCTTAGAGAAAACATCAATGAAAACATCTTAAGTAATTTTGGTCCTAAAATTACTCCTGTAGATTTGCATATGCTTAAAGACAGTGTACTTTAAAAAAAAAACATTATTTGATTTTTATCTCTATTCTCAGAATTTGCTTTCTTGCTGTAAATTTCTTCATCCCAGGACAGGAAAATATGTCACAAATCCTCTTATGCCTCCTCAGTCATCTCACAGACAGAGAAACCAAATCACCTTTCCTCTCAGTTGCCTCAAATAAAAGAAATATAAAACAATAATAAAAAAGGGTCTCTCATCTTAGTTTTATTATCTTTGTCTTCACTCCTCCACCAAAGCCATATTGCCAACACATCTGATAGCAACATGTACAACACAGCACCGATATACTTGAAAAAGGCATTTACAACAAGAAAGCATTAAGCTCAAGTGCATGAACAGTTACTAGAAGCTGAAATTTTATCCTCACACTTATAATAGTCAGCATTCACTCTGGCACTTATTCTGCCAAGGAACATGATTTAATAAAATGGTATATTGTCAACTCACCACAGCATGTGCTATGCCTCATCTATAGGAAATGGTTTGAAGGCATCAGCTTCACACATGAGTTGCCATAGCTGATACTGGAGACTGGCTGGCTGCTGGTACAGCTTTCTAATACTAGCCCTAGACATTAAAAAAAAAAAAAAAAAAAAAAAAAGAGAAAAACATTTGGGTTTGGGGGTGTTAGGCAAGTTAAACACAGACAAACTAAGTTAAACCAGAGCATCAATACTTGCATGTCACACAACAAAGAAATTCATGATTTTTCTGATATTCCCATTCAGGAAAGTATCTATATGGACCATTAGCTTACTTTCTTACCTGGAAAGAAAAAATGTTAAAGACCAAAAATAACACAAAATGAAGTGCTGCTTAAATGGGAAAGAGGTGTCATGCTTATTTTTCACAAAAAGATAAAAATGGAAAAATAAAGGAGGGCAAACCCAACTGTTCAGGAGCTCATGTTCAAAACTATTCCAAGTTACAACACACTGCATTACAAATCATGAAACTGTCCTTAAGTCTGTTTCTATTTCATCTTTTCAGCTGAGATCTTCTGATTTTTCCTTGGAGGAGGAAACTTCAGCAACCTGCACTGAAATGCTGAGATTTATACACAGGCATCTATTAATAATAGCTGGGCATTACAGTGTAATTTGACTTGTGATCAAAAGTTGGCAACAGAAGTGCTTTATGAAACGTTGATACACAGAGGCATAAGGAAAGCCCTTGGATTGCTGCTGTCTATGAAATCACAATGCTCTTAAAAAGCACCACCACAACAAAACACTTTCAAATGATGGAGCATTCATACTTCCACAGAAGCTTAAGAAACAGGGTAAGCAGCAAATGTAAGAAGCTGTGAGAATAAACAGTAACTGAGAAGAGAAACAATTGCATACCACTCTGGTGTCTAACTACTGAACAAAACCCCAAGCATACACATAGGCAATGAGTGTTAAGCAGAAGGCAACTGCATTCATCATTGATCATCACTAAACTCTGGGCAATATTTTCTTACCATTGTTTTGCAATGTCTTCAAATAACTCCAAAGAAAAGTGAACTGTATCTTGGAAGTCATGGAATATAAATAAAAACCTATATGTTCAAACAACTGCTTTATCAGCGAGAGACCACAACACTTTACATCCAAATCACAAACTCCCCAACTCCCTGAGATGTAATTCATAATTCCAAGTTACCTGATCCATTGCTGTGAAATCCTGCTGAAACAGCTATTGATGGAATTTTGCTCTTCAGAGCCTTCTGCTTTCAGTGTTTATTACAACACAGAAAATTAGCATCTATGCTAGGAGCTGGAAGTACCCTAAATTTCCCATATCTCACTGTGATACAAACAAGAGCCTATAATCATGAAGTCACGATGGTGTTCTTAATCCTGGACAAGAAAAGAACCTCAGTGTAAAAGCACAACTGCTCTCTCCCCACCCCCCCCAACCCCCCCAAAAAGAGACTCTGATTCTGTCATATTCTCCAGACTTATTCCAAAGATAAAGTTAATGACCTTGCCTTCCCTCGAGGTGGAGGTGAGAACACTCTACTGCCACCAGTACATTCACATGCAAAATTAAAAATAAATAAATCAATCACTGTTTAATGAACAAACAAAACAGACTAAGAAGTATTAGGAGTTGAGCTTCCTGTCCTTCTATATTAAGCACAGCTAGTGTGAAGGGCACTTTTGGCCTAACAAAACCAGGTGCATCAGGCTAAAAGGGAAATACAACAACTCGGCTGAAGGACAACTGTTCAATTTCTGCAGACTGTGGGTCGTGGAATCCTGTACCACCTTCAGTCTTGCTTTAATCTATCCTTACATCTCATTATCACTGAGAAAGATAAAAGAAAACCAATTTCTACTACCTCACATTTCACACCAACAAAGTTACACATTGCTTTCAGTTTCAGACCAACACCATTACTTGAGTACAAAAGCTTTTTTGTTTCTCTGAAAGACATGTTCCTATGTCTATCTACACAGATGGTGCTGCAAGAAAGAAGCTTACAGCAAGAGCAGCATTTCCCCTCCTAGCTGCTGCCCTTCATTAGGGTCAATTTTTCTTGCAGGTGGCCCCATTCAAACCACTATTTCATAAAGTCAGTGACAAGGCAGCAATGGTAGCAAAGCTGTTGGTTTTGGGATCCAGAGAAGTCTGATGACAAAACAGAGCAGCAGCTATGGTAGCATTGCAATCATTAGACCTTCAGGTTCTAATTTCTAGTAGTGGTGTTATGAATTCAAGATGGAATGGGAGGGTCTATGGATATAAGATTGCTCACCATAAACAAGCAAACAGGAAAAAAAAATAAAAAAAAATCAGTAACACACACAACAGTCTTAACTTTGTTCTGAAGGCTTATCAGCACACTGACAATATTTTTTGTTACTTAAGAATTATCCCAAGAACTGACCCAGTTTAGAGTGCATAAGAGTTTAAGAGATACCAATTTTTAAAGCTGGGGGTGCAAGTGCAGATTTTCCATTTTCCAAATCTTAATACAAATATGATATTCTAAAGAGCAATGCCAATATCCCATTCCTTCCTGCCTGCTTCACCTCCCCCTTCCTGCATAAGTTGTACAACTGACTGCAAATCGTGGGAGAGTTTTGTGACATTTCCAAATACAATGGTAGAGACATTTTGATGGCTTTCTCTTTGTTTTCTAAAGTGAAATTTAATACCGTAGCACTACTGGAAGATTGCTTGCCTTATAACAGCTGATTAATTACAATTAATTCCCTAAATGGCTATAAACATGCCAATGACTGACAGCAACAAAATAATCATAATAATTATAAACAAACAATCATAATTAAAAACAACAAAAACCCACACATTCCCAAAATCTGCTCACTAAAATCTCCCTCAGTGCAGACATTTCCAACAACAGGAGAACATTTGCTAGCACCAAGCAGGCAGACAGGCAACTGAAATCAACCAGTTTTTCACGTCAAGTAATTTTTGTCCTTACCCATTTAGAAACATGCCTGTAATCCTAACACTGCTCAATACAGTAACAATTACATCAGGACTCTGATTAATTCTGCATGCTCTGGAGCAGCAGGATGAGCACCGTGTGAGCACACAGCTCACTGAGGGTCAGGAGAAGGAATATGGTTTAATGGCCGAGGTCAAATCACCTTTGTCATTCAAATCTGCTCCCCCCAGGAGAAAGCCATTAGCTCAGCCAGTTAAAAGGTATTTCCTTGCCACCTTTCCTAGCATCAAGACAGTGAGCACACAGCAGGAGTATGAGGAAGAAAACACTGCTCTGGAGCTGATGGCTACAGAGCAGCATTCTGAAATAGGGTTAAAGATCCGAGGTTTGGAGAACCTCCCCAAGGCACAAAACCAAAGCAAGCTTACATGTGGGCAAAGATAACAGCCCTGTGCAGAAACAAGGCCATCTCATCCCATTTCAACCTTCCCCTTTTTCTGAAGCTGGCTTTACATTCTGTATCCTCCAACAACCTGATTGCAGACTTCTCCCAGGCATTTACGTTTTTCTCTTTAAAAAAACAAACAAACAAACAAAAAAAAAACTCCAGTCTGTGCCATTATTCTTTTCCCCCTCCCCCCAGAAATCTGTATTTTCAAGGACTGTTGGCATGACTTTAAACAGATCTCTGGCAAAACTCACACAGAGTACATCACAGGAGGGAAAGGCTGCAGTGAATACACCATGTAGCTATGCAGCAAAAGGAGCCCGTGTATAGAACTGAAAGCCATTGAAGACAAACGCCATGGAACATGCCCAGTTTGAGTCGCTGGGAGCACAACAATGCTGACACTTCATTAGGCAAATAGCATTTGTTTTCTTTCTTTTTAGGTCCCTCTGTAGAAGAAAAACTACTGTTTCTTCTTGTAACAAGAGCTTTTCTGCCAAAATATCTCCCTGCAAAGCAGCACTAATTCCACTGCAGTATTCAGCAAGTGTTGAGCTCTTTTGCAGAGCAGCTGCCCTGCAGCGTGCTGTAAACACCTCTCCCAAAGCTCCCATGGTGCCATCAGACGCAGTCAGCTTTTCCATTCACTTACGCTGGAGCAGTCACACAGAAGACCAATGGTTTCCTTGGACAGCTTACTTACAGGACACTTCCACACTCAAAACAGCTTTTCAGATCCTTCTGCCCACCAGCACCTTTTTCCCTTTCTCTCCCCATTCAGCCACTTTGCTAAAGGCCAAGACTTATGTCATAAAAAATAAATAAATAAATAAATAAATCATAGAATCACAAAGAATCAAAAAGACCTCTCAGATCATCATGCCCAACCTCTGACCTATCCCCATCATGCCCACTAACTCATGCCCTCCAAATTTCCATTTGCTTAGCATCACCTTCTCTTCTGCTTTTACAGATTCTCATTTTATATGGCTTTACATGGACAATACAACTCCCATAACGTACTCTTTGCTGCTGAATTGTGCACCGAGACCCCTCTTTCCTCCCAAAGCCCCCAGGCAGCAGTGAGGCTGAGCAAACCACGACTGTTTACATGAGCCAGCTGGTGAAGCGCTGTCACCCCATCCATGATGTGCGCTGCTCTCACAACCAATGAAACACCCAAACACACGCTTTTACAGACCCTAACACAGGAACACGATTCTCAGCCACAATACATAGGGATGCAGCCATCCCACTCCAATTCACCATTTGCTCCATTAATCTGCCTTCTGTTCCCCCATCCTTAAAGCAACACTCAGCATCCATCACCCCACCCCACAAGAGCTGGTCAGTCTTTGACCACCAGTGTCAAATGCCTACCATTCCGTGCTGCCTCTGTCCTCCTCACCCAGCCACCTTCCCCCAGCTGCACGTCAGGTGGTATTGTTAAGCCACATTCCAAACAGTGCCAAGGAAGAGATGAGCTTCTTATTAAAAATATAAATAAAAATTAAAAAAGGTGGGCAGCTGGATCCAACGTTCTCCTTTAAAGAATTACATAAAAGAGAATGGAGGAGAAAAGAAAAAGGGGAGGCAAAATGTCTGATGATAACAGAATAAAAGAAGAGCTTGGTTGCTGAATCACGCTCTGTCACTGCCTGGGAACCATTGTGCAGCTGATGCTGGCTGTACCATTGTGGAAGGACCGGAGGA